CCCCAAAACCCCAAAACCCCAAAACCCCAAAACCCCTTTCCTCCTTTCCAAAATTGAATGAAGTTAGATTCCTTAATATCAATATATTTTTATTATTCAGAGATGAATGATTCAACTTCATTCTCTTCACCGACATAATGTCTTAATTTAAGCATGAGGTCAGTCAATCTGTATCCAGCAACAGCGAGTTGTTCATTGACTACTTTTCTGCCTCTCTCAATGTACTCATCAGAAGGGATTGTTTTGGGCTCGATGTCTGCATACACAGCTTCTTTAGCAATCTTGTTGCTTTCCTTGGCCCATTCTCTTTCATCTAGAATTTTCACTCTGCTGGCAACCTTATTTCTTGGATATTCAGCTGTGACTTTGTCAGCAAATGTGCCAAGCTGGTTCCACTCTCCTTCGTTGATTGGAGCCCAGATTGAGCCGTATTGGTCAACACAGGCATCCCAGAGAGCATGGAGGTTGTAGATCTGTTTGTCTTTCGGGTACTTTATTTTGAAACTATTACCTCCTCTGTCTCCATGAGGGAAAGCATCAGAATAAAGTGCAGAAGCATGTAATGGCTGATGAATGTCACCAACAAGGTGAATCAAGTACCTCCAAGCAAAGGAAAGTGCTAGACCGTTGTTGAACTTAGGCTTCTTGGTGTTCTTCAAGGTCTTTTCCATTTCATAGATAGCCCAAGTTGCGTTAGCTTTATCTACTTCATATTCTCCTTCAAATCCTTCTGCGATTACTGGAGTATCAACAAAATGCCAATTGCTAAAGGCGCCCCAGGCGATGGCCTTGTTGTCGTCTGCCCATACAGCAGACTCAACAAATGGGTTGACTCCTTCTTGCCCGAAGTCCTTCAGGAGTTCTATTTCTTTAGTAATCTGCTTGAAATAAGCAGGATCCTTCACTTTGATCTCTTCATATGCAATTCTGGCAATAATCATGTGACCAGTTGACCAGAAGCACAGGGTGGGGGATATCAGCAGCAATAAGGCTACGATATATAAGAATTTCATTGTTAATTATTATATCACATATCAATAGCTTAAGTTAAATAGGGGTTTTGGGGTTTTGGGGTTTTGGGGTTTTGGGGTTTTGGGG